TCGGGCGGACTCTGACGGCGGGATCGGGCGGGTCGAGCGGGCGGGACATTATATCGAGCAGCTTCTGGCTTTCACGCAGTCGACCCAGCGGACCCTGACGGGCGGGTCGGTCGACGGACCCTGGCGGGCAAGTCTGGTCGGTCGACGGACACACACACGCACACACAACACACACAACACACACACAACACACACACAGCTGGATTCAAGCGTGGAACATCTGGAGGCCGCGTGCGAATATACGTGCGGAAGGCCAGCGCACACGGCCGTACATGGGACGAGCGCTGGAAAGTCACGTCGACACATTCGAACACAACGCTCTCGCTTAAACCTGCCCCGTCATGTGTATCCAGGTTGCTGGCAACTGCTGGCAAGTTACTCTTCAAAAGCAGCTGCATCACCGTGTTCCCCCCGGCCTCTTCGCCAGGCGGCTGGCCATGTCGTGGGCCTTGACGTACTTCACCGCACCGTCCGCCAGCACCTACGCGGGGCGCAGGAGGAGGGAGGAGAGAAAAGGGAGGAAAAGGAGGAGACGGAGGCCACTCCGAATTGTTAGATTGGCCTCGATTCTCTCTCGAGGACGTTCGGAGCTCCCTCGAAGGTACCGAAGCGCCCTGCGATGGCATTCGACATTCCATCGAGAGAGGGAGACGAGGAGGAGAAGGAGGAGGAGAGAGAGCGAGAGAGAGAGAGAAATAATGGAGGCGGAAGCAGGGAGGAAGCGGCAGGGAGCACAGAGAAAATAAAGGAAGGAGCACGCAGGCCCGCGAAGCCACCTGCGACATGCCATGCCCCCTCCCCTCGATCCAGACCGCCAGCTCTTGTTTCCCCCGATATGTTTGCGCCCATTGTCCTGGAGGAGTTCGAGGCAATCGTCGGTACTCTTTAATTCGGCCAGGAAGGAGCACATAGAGTCCCCGAGGGCCATGGGGGTGTAGCGTTAAACGTCGTCGGCGCACTTGTACAAAATAAAGTCGCACTCTTGGCCGCCCCACTCGGCGCGCAGCTGAGAGAGAGTTTGATCAGCAGCCCGACGGGTCTCAGTCCATTGTTGCACCGTCGACGGAACGTCGTGGAAAAGGACGCGACCATAGAAGGATCCCCCATCACTCCTCCCACACGTCTCTGTACCAGATCCCCTTCATCCCTAGGTAGTAGAACGACGGCATCACGATATCTATTCTGACAGAACACTACAAGTTCAGGCTGGACTAGAGTAGACACTGTGGAACCAGAGCCCCCCAACTCGTGCTGTCGAAAGCATTGCTCGTGTCTTTCGGGCTAGCCCCGATACGCCAACCTATTTTCCGAAGTCCGCACACCACCACCACCCGAGAGGCCATGATGGCCCCTTCCCGGCGGCGATGACGTTGAACACCGCAAATTCAACAGGCAGGAGGTCCGCAAAGAAAGATTTACCCACCACAGGCAGAACTTGGACCACGCGTTTTCCCCTGGGCCCTGACCCGGCCGATGTGCGAAGGGCACACCCAAGATTTACACTCCAATAGTGGGGCCATGTCGGAGACCCTGGTTTTCATCGTTCCGTCGAAGAGAGCCTCCAAGAACAGCGCGGGTTCCTCGGGCGCTCTGGGTGCACCGGGGCACAAGCGCTGATGTTGCGCACCTCGAGAAAAAAACATGGGAGTTCCACGGACGCAATGCCTTCCAGCACGACTTAACGCGTCGGCACCCGACGGGCGTAACGACGTAGACAACCGACGTCACGATATCCCAGATGCGCAGACCGATCGTCGTATCGGGAACTATCGTAGATATGACTCGAGTCGAAGTTACCGCAGGTAACTCGCCATGCACTGAGATCGATCGGTTGAAATTCCATGCCCCCATCTTCCCGAGGAAGCGACCCGACATCTAGCCATGCTTGCTTCGACATCGGGGATGTTCCAAATCATCGTCCGCCTCGCTGTGCAGCGGAGAAACGGCATCTGGCAGCCCGTCGGGCCCATTCCATCGCCTCACAGAGATTTATCTTGACCCACGCCTCGTTGGAGGCCTGGACGTACGATTCCCGAACAGTTGGGCTCGCTGGTGTTTCCATCGAGGGAGGCGAAGACGCTGGGAAAAATCCGGGAGTTCCTTCCACGGTCTCGAGGCCCGTGGCATGCTGGCGCGAAGCTCGCAAGACGATCCTTTTCAGAAGCAGGTCGCGCCGCATCTTGGCCCAGTGCGCGTACTCGTCGGGGACGTCCAACGGTTTGGTGAAGAGCTCGGAGCCAACCTCGACCAGGCACCGCTCAAGCAGCTCGAAGGTGTGGTCTGGAGCGTCCTGGTCATGGGCGCTGATGCAATCATCCAAGGGGCCCTCCAGCCATTTGGATACCCCGTCAACGAATTCTTTGCGCTGCTCGCCACTTTTCACCGCCGCCAGGAGGGCGGTCATGTTCCACGTGCGTGGCGGCAACGCCCTCTGCGCAATCCTGCGGCCCTTTCGGGTGCGTGATCCCATGGTACACCCACAGGCACATGATCCCGAAAGGGTCGGCCTCGTAGAGCTTGAAGCTGGGCGCATATGCGATGCAAGGTGTGGCAGTGCCTGACTCGCGTCGCCCAACCTTGTGGTAGGAAGATGAGGTCAACGAGGCTGCTCGGCCCCGTGGGCCCGCTGCCGTAGAACGTAGCCGCGTACTTGCCGAAGGCGTTTGCCGGCATGAGACGCTGCTGCTCCAGGAGGTGTGCCACCGCCTCGCCAACTCCATTACGTCGTCTTTCTCATGTGCGCACGGCGCCCACGGCATCGTTGGTGTACTCCTGCCAGTTGCCATCGATCTTGCGGCAGCCGATGCCACTGTTGAGGTCGGCGTACAACATTGGCAGGTAGGGGATAGGAAGCTGAGACAAGCAGGTGCGCCACCACTGGAGCATCTTGGCACAAGTCTGCGAGCACCTCGGGACTGCACCGCGGCTGCGAAGCTGAGGTTGGAAGTAAAGCACGCCCACGCACACAACCACAATGTCTCATCGGACACGGGCGGGAAGGCAACGGCCTCCCGGATCGGGTGGGTTAGGGAGAACCCGGCGAACGCGATGATCACGATAACCTCGCCCAAAAAGAATCGAAACGCCAGCACCTCGGTTGGTAGAAAATCATGGGTAAAACTGCTGTTTCTAAGACCAGTCGACCCTCGATCCACTGTTGGAGAACATCCTGAACCTCACGACAGACGTCCTGGGTGCCCGCCAAGAGCGTGAAGTCCACATTCCGCGTGCATGCGGCGATCTCCGAGATCGGCGACGGGCGAGGGGGGAAGTGAGAAGGAGAAGGCCTTCTCAGAACGCGGCGGGACTTCTCAGAGGCCCTCGCGCCTTCTGGTAAGTTGTTCCAAACCATCCTGTGGTGCAGGGTCCTCGCTGTGAAGAGACAGCGCCCCGCGTGTCCTCTTCTCCTCCCCGTTGCCCTCACTCTCCCCCCTCCATCATCATCACCCCATCATCCTCATCCATGCACCCCCTCCCATCAATATCGGAACACCCCTCACACGTTTCGTGGCCCCACAGGGAGCTCCACCTAAGACCCCAGCGGCAGGGTTCGCATGGCGCCACCGCACCAATTTCGGCACACCGCTCACACGCTTCGTGGCCCCATAAGGAGCTCCATGCACCTAAGGTCCAAATGGGAAAATTCGCGTGGCACCGCCGCCCCATGTCGGCACACCCCTCACACGCTTCGTGGCCCCACGGGGAGCGCCACCTAAGACCCCAGCGGCAGGGTTCGCATGGCGCCACCGCACCAATTTCGGCACGCTCCTCTCACGATTCGTGGCCCCACAGGGAGCTCCACCGACGGCGGGGCTCACCACTGCGGCATCCACAACTGCATATGGCTGGGTACTTCGCCAGGATAACTGCTGTCTTCGGGGAAGGCTTAGAAAACTTCTCTGAAGGCCGGGGGACTTCCGAACCTTCTGAGAAGGCCTTCTCCTTCGCACTTCCCCCCCTCGCTCGCCGCCGTCGAGAGGCGACCGCCCGCAGCTCACGGTGGATTCCAGCCCAGCACCCTCCACTTCGACATGGCCGGCGGTCACCCCAATCGCGGTGCGGCAGCTGCGCTGCCGAGGGAGCGCCTCGGGCTGCATGGCGAATTCGAGGCTCCGGCCCCGTCTGCTCGAATGCCTCGAGCCCAGGAGGAGGAGGAGGAGGAGGAGGAGGAGGAGGAGGAGGAGGAGCAGGTGGGAGGAGGACGAGGAGGATGAGGAGAAGGGTGGGGGACGGGAGGGAGGACAGCGGACAAGGGAGGAGAGAGGAGAGGGGGCCGAGCTCCTGTTGGTCTCAACGAGGGATGCATCGACTCGGTGACTGCTGAGCGCCTTGCCCATCTGAGCGCTGCTCGTCGCAGGGAGGACTGACTGTGTTCGAGTTGCGCCCACTGCCATCCCACGTGTGTGAAACGTCTCCGGCGCGCATACGACCGGTGGATGAACGCATGAATGAGGAGGCAGGGTGATATATATATATATATATATATATATATATAGAGAGAGAGAGAGAGAGAGAAAAAAAAAAAGAAAGAAAGAAAGAAAGAAAGAAAGAAGAGAGGTAGAGAGAGAGGGAGAAACAACTGACGTAGAAAGAGGGAGGGAGAGATAGAGAGAGGAAGGGAGAGGGGGAGGTAGAGAAAGAGAAGGGGGAAGAAAAAAAGAAAGAGAGAGAGAGAGAGGTCCAGACGTGCCGGAGCCATCCGCAGGGCTCCACAGGCCCAGACTGGCCCTCCGCACGGCGGGATCGCACCCTTCGATGACCGCACCCTTCGGGCGCCCCTCGGGGAGGGCTCGAATCGAGCCCTCCCCGAGGGGCGCGCCCAGAAGCGTGCGCCCCGGCGGCAGGACTGGCGCCGGCGCGCGGCGGGCGGCCCAAGAGAGGCCCGCCTTCACGGTGCCCGCGGGCATGTCGAAGCCGTCCGCGTCGGTGGCGACCGGGTACACGGCGTCCACGATGCCCCGGAGCCAGGCCGCAGAGCTGACGCTCCACACGCTGACCTGCAGGCAGGAAGCGGGAGAGGGAGAAGAGGACGAGGTCAGGTCAGGCCAGGCGGTCCTCGACAGCTCCTCGTGAGAAGGCTACCCCTGGGGGGCGAGGCGCACAAGCCGCAGCCCGAGAAGAGGATCAGGAACAGGAGGAGCAGCTGCAAGAGCAGGAGGGGGAGAGCACAAGCAGGCTAGAGCGGAGCCCCGGAGGCGAAGCGCATCACACGGCCCACGACCTACAGTCAATGGCATGATTGAGAGCAGGCCTTGCGGTAAACTCTGGATCAAACTCTGGACCAGCCCTGCGTCTACGACCTCGTACACGTGCAGGGCGGGGGGGCCTGGGAGCTCTGGATTGGGCGCTCCCCCGAAGCTGCCGAAGGAATGCTGGGCCGAAACGAAGCGAAGGTCCTGGATGATCGGCGCAACTGTAAGTGAGGGATCCCTGAAAGCCTCCACGTGAAGTGCACGGGGTACTCCTGAGGGCGCCTATGGATCTGCAACAGGTCGCCTTCATGGAGCATCTGGTCACGTGTGACTGTGCCTCCCAGTCACTGAAACAATTTGCCTGCCTCTGGTTATGACTATGCCTCCCTCTGGTTATGACTTTGCCTCCTGATAGTTATTGTGGCCCCCAAGGCAGGGGTAGGAGGATAGGAATGAGGAAGGTGAGAAGAAGGAGGGGAGGGATGAAGGCGAGAATGAGGATGAGAGGGGACAAGAAAGAGTACGACGACGACACAGGAGGATGAGAAGGTTGGGGGAAGAGGGGTGGGGAGGTGAAGGAGGGTGAGAATAAGAAGAGGAGGAGGCGAATGAGGAGCACCAGGAGTAAAAAAATTGAAGGGAGGAGAGACGACAGATAAGACATGACGTACGTGGAGGGAGAAGAAGACAACGACAAGGAGATGGATGAAGGGAAGAAGGGAGGGATGGAGAGTTGGAGGGGAAGGGAGGGTGGAGGGAGGAGGGGGGAAGGGAGGAGGAGAGAATGGAGGAGGGAGGAGTGGAGAAGGGACCGAGGATGGAGGAGGGAGGAGAGATAAGGAAGGAGGGAGACGCTTCGTGGCATCACAGGGAGCTCCACTGAAGGCTATTGTGGCAGGGCTCGCATGCGTTCCCCCGCCAAGTTCGTCACGCCCCATCACACGTTGCGTGGCTCCACAAGGGGCTTCCCCATCCTTCGTCCCACTTGCCTTGCGGTACTCACACTTGCATCTGTTCGGGCCCGTCGTCAAGCTAATGTACCGTTGTTGTGACCGTTTTTGTTTTGCATCAGGAGGCAGTTTTCCCAAACACTGCCTGCATTTAGGGGTTCTTATTCCTGTTCTAAGGAGCTCGGCCTTATCCTCGGTCTGGCGGCTACGTGGCCGCCGCCGTCACCCCGTCGCCACCTCGTCGCCGCCCGTCGCCTGGGCCGTGTCTGCGGTCTGGCGGCTAAGTGGCCGCCGCCGCCGCCCCGCGGCCGCCCCGTCGCCGCCCGTCGCCGCCGTTGGATTGCACCAAACAGGTGGCACGAACCAAAAGAAATGGCGCCCGCGGCGCGCTCTTTAACCGATCACGGCACAAATTGCACCACAAACCTATGTATATACATATATATATAGATTGCAACACATAGACGGCAAAACCACATAGATTGAGCCACATAGAATGCACCACATATATTGCACAACCCATATTGCACAGCATAGATTCTCCTTTCTAAAAAGAGAATAGATTCTACCCCCCCCCCGGACTTATCGGTTCCCCCTGGGATAGTATAATTTCATATATACATATATATATAGAGAGAGAGAGAGATTCTGCATACTCGTCCATCCTAAATATGAAATCGTGCCATCCCAGCCAGGCCGGGTTTCCCCCCCCTGAAGTTCCCTTGTTAAAAACACTATGCGGTGACACGTGTTGTTCTAACATAACACTTTTTCGCGAATCCCTTGCAACAATTGAAACGAAGTGTACACGCGCGCGCGTCGTCGCGCGCATGCCGAAATCCTTCAAAAACCTTCGGTGCGGGAAGGATTTCGCAATCGAGTTTCCAAAAAAACATACAAAAACACAGGGTTTCGCAACACAGAGTTGCTAAAAAAGCTTCCGCGAAAGCTCTTGCGAAATCTTAAGAAAGCCATCGGTTTTTCAAGATTTTCACAAAATGCTACCAAACGGGCTTCGCGCGCGCTCATGTCGAAATCTGTCGAACGCATTTGCGCGTGTGCCGTCGCGAGAATCCCCTGCAAAAAATGGGACGAAATGCAGACGCGCGCGTCGTCGCGCGCATGCCGAAAACCTTCAAAAACCATCGGTTCCGGAAGGATTTCAAAATCGTGTGTCCAAAAAAAACCACAAAAACACAAGGTTTCGCAACACGGATGTTCAACAAAAGCGTGTGCGCGCGCTCTTGCGTCGTCGTCGTCGTCGTCGTCGCCGTCCTCCCTCCTCCCGCGTCGTTGTCGTCGTCGTCGCCTACGTCGTCCTCTGTTTTTCCTCGTGTTCGTCGTCGTCGTCCTCTTCGGCGTCGTGGTCGTTTCCGTCGTCGTTGTCGCCGTGGTCGTCCTTCCTCCTCCTCCCTCGATGTCGTCGTCGTCCGTCGTCGGCGTCTCGTCGTCGTCCCTCCTATTTCGTCGCCGTCGTCGTCGTCGTCGTTGTCGTCGTCGTCGTCGTCCCTCCTCCCTCGTCGTTGCCGTCGTCGGCGTCGCCGTCCTTCCTCCTTCTTCGTCGTTCGCGCCGTCGCCGTCCTCCCTCCTCCCTCGTCGTTGTCGTCGTTGTCGCCGTCGTCGTCCTCCCTCCTTCCTCGTTGTCTTCGTTGGCGACGTCGTCGTCGTCTTCGTCGTCGTCGCCGGCGTCGGCGTCGTTGTCGTCTTCGTCGTCGTCGACGTCGGCGTCATCGTCGTCGCTGCCGTCGTCGTCGTCGTCGTCGTCGTCGTCGGCGTCGTTGACGTCGTCGTCGTCGTCGGTGTCGTCGTTATCGTCGTCGTCGGCGTCGTCATCGTCGTCGTCGTTGACATCGTCGTCGTCGTCGGCGTCGGTGTCGTCGTCGTCGTTGTCGGTGTCGTCGTCGTCGTCGTCGTTGTCGGCGTCGTCGAAGTCGTTGGAGACGTCGTCGGTGTCGTCGTAGTTGTTGTCGGCGGCGTCGTCATCGTCGTTGTCGCTGTCGTCGTCGGCGTCGCTGTTGTTGCCAAGTGCCATGTGGTACCCACCGTCACGGTCTTAAGAGGTTTTGCAAACCAAGTTGCGGGTGGGTGGGTGGGATGTTTGCGCGAACGGTGGAGTGGACAACTCACTGCGAACAGAAATTAACTGCACCACATAGATTGCACAACGTAGATTGCACAACATCGGTTGCACAATCACATAGATTGCGCAACATAGATGGCACAACATAGAATGCACTACATACATTGCACACCATGGATTGCGACACGTATATTGCACAACCCATATTGCACATCCTAGATTGCACCGCCGTGACTGCCACCCCTGGATTGTATAGCACATACTACCAACATAGAGTGCAACACCTAGGTGGCCAGATTTTTTGTTCGCGCCTGCGGTGCGCTTCTTGATCGCTCACAGTGTAGATTGCACAACCACGTGTCTTGCGCAACATAGATTGCACCATATAGAATACACAACACATATTGCGCAACCTAGAATGCCCCGAACGGGTTGCACTACCGAACTTGCACAGCACAGGGTGCATCACACAGATTGCACACCCACATACAGTCTACCACATATACTGTGCAACATATGTTGCACAACATGTATTGCTACACATTGCTTGCCCCACATAGATTGCACCACATAGGTCGCACTACATAGAGTGCACAGCATAGATGGCGCACCATATATTGCACAACCTATGCTGCGCCAAATATATGGCACCGCAGACATTGCTCCACCTAGATTGCACAATCCATTTTGCACCTCATAGATCACACCACTCTTACTGCACCACATAGGTTGCGCCACATAGGTTGCACATCATGGGTTGCACCACATAGGCGGTGTACAATCTGCATTTCTACAACCACACTGTTTGGGGTCGAAGCTGGCTAACATCTAAAAGCAATGTGCAAAAAAGATAGGAATTCCCCAAGCCGTGCTGGGCGTGGTGCTCGGTCTGGCGGCTATGTAGTCGCCGTCGCCGCCCCGTCGCCGCCTCGTCGCCGCCCGTCGTCTGGGCCTGGGGGTCGGTCTGGCCGTTATGTAGTCGCCGTCGCCGCCCCGTCGCCGCCCCGTCGCAGCCTTGTCGCCGCCCGTCGCCTGGGCCTGCATTGCTTCGCAATGTGTTGAAATGCTACGCCGTGCTAAGCTGTACTATGCCGTGGTGTGCTTTGCTTTGCGTTGCTACAGAGGGCTTTGCACTGCGTTGCATCGCTTTGCATTACAATGCATTGCTTTGCATTGGATTATATTGAATCGTATTGGTGTGCATTGCGCTGCATTGAATTGTACTGCTCCGCGTTGCACTTGATTGCGTTGCTTTGCACTGGTTTGCCGTGTTTTGCTTTGCCTTGCAAAGCTTTGCAGTGCCTTGCATTGCCGTGCATTGCCTCGCTTTGCTTTGCATTGTCAAGCACCGACTTGCAATGCTCTGCATTGCGTTACGTTGCATCTCTTCGCATTGATTTACATCGCATTGCATTGCTTCGCAATGTTTTGTTTTGCTGCGCATCGCCTCGCCTAGCCTTGCACTGCCTTGCATTGCCTTCCATTGCCTTCCATTGCCTTGCATTGCCTGACACTGCCTTGCATTGCCTTGCGTCGCATTGCTGTGGGTTGCGTTGCATTGTGTTGAAGTGACTTTCATTGGCTTGCGTTGGTTTGCGCTGCCTTGATTTGTATAGATTGCACCACATGGGTTGCACCACCTGGATTGCACCACATTGGTTGCACCACCTAGGTTGTATGTATGTATGTATTTATGTATGTATGTATGTATGTATGTACGTACGTACGTACGTACGTACGTATGTATGTATGTTTGTATGTATGTACATATGTATGTA